TTGGAAGGAGATATTCTGGTATGGTGGCTGAGATTAAAAGATTGACTTTGTCTGAGGGAGCAGATAAAGTTTTGTGTTGTGGCAGTCAGGGGGCTTCTCAATCAATAAAAGCTACTAACTGTCAATTGATGAGATTCCAGCCAGGTTCATAGAGCTCCTTGGTTTAGATTGGTGTGGCATTCTGGTGGAATTTTGAGGCACCCGTTTATAATTTTATTGATGCTAGTGAAAGGTCTGTTGAAGACAAAGGATAGGTACTGAATTGCAGAGGTATGAGTATGAGTTTGAGTTTAAATTGCTTGTTGTGTGATTCCGCTGAGGTATCATACAAGTATCTCTTTTTGAATGCCCTTCTAATCCATGATAAACCTCAAACTTTAAAATCAATCTTCTTGAAAGTCGTCAATAATAGTAATCATGTGTAGTATATATGTGCGTCATTTGTGTATGAAAATCTATCAACTATATGTATTACGTTAAGTTTGTTTTAATTTGTATTGTCTTTGTGCTCCAATGACCTACACGGCCTAAAGATAATCATTTTTTAGTGGGTTCGTGTTTTAACCATGCAGGTTGAGCGGATAAAAAAAACGATATGAGAGGGTTATTTCTATTATGCAACTTAAAAATAAATAAAAAACAGATACAACCTATATTCAGTGGATTGGAAATTGAGGATAAACTCTTAATACCCGAATAACTACAAAAAAAAAAAAAAAAAAATTGTATTCTAAAAATAAATAAAAAAGGTCGGAAAATATGGATCTTACCCAAAATTATAGCTGACTGCGAGGCTATCTTGCCTTGTTGATAGCAATCGTAGTCCCTCATCTTATTAAAACAAATTGAGTCTGGCCTACAGCTAATCTTGTGGTTAGTGTCATTGCATTCATCAATATCTAAGAAATAAATAAATCAACGATGTAATAATATATAATATTACGTAGAATTATAAGTTTATAATAATAATGTAATATTAAGTGAATATAACGTGATATTAAATGAATAGATGTATATAATATTATTAGTGGACTTTTGAATGAAAATAGTTTCTTATGTAATAATACATCATGTTATAATCTTGTAATACCATGTAACATTGTAGTTATAGTGTTTTTGTAAATAAATAAAACATAATCAGCAAGATAAACGGACAGAAGTTAAAGAAAATATGTAGGCATAAAAAGTAAAATTACCAACAGGTACACACGTTCTACCCTTGGTTAGTTTTATTGCAGGTTCTTGTAATACTAACCAAGATCATAGGGCTGAATAAATAACAATGCTTTTCTTTTTCTTAAAAAAAAAGAGAAAAGTTTCTTTATATAAAAATATGTTTTTCAGGTTGGATTACATATTAAAACTGTAATTCTAACACTGAAATTATAAAAATATTCTTAATAAAACTCTTCCTTATATTTATCGATTATAATTTAATAATTTTAGTTGTAGGATTGTGCTTTTAATGCGTAGTCTAGACTAAAATACATGAAATTATATATATATATATATATATATATATATAACCGGTTGGATTACATATTAAAACTGTAATTCTAACACTGAAATTATAAAAATATTCTTAATAAAACTCTTCCTTATATTTATCGGTTGTAATTTAGT